TTATGTTTAGGTATGTTCCTTGTATCCCTGCTCTGTCCAAGACCTTTATCATGAAGGGATGTTGTATTTTGTCAAATGGTTTTTCAGCATCTAATGAGATGATCATGTGATTTTTATTTTTCAGCTTGTTTATATGGTGGATTATGTTGACAGATTTTCACATGTTGAACCATCCCTGCATCTGTGGGATGAAGCTGACTTGGTCATGGTGGATGATGGTTTTGATGTGTTCTTGGATTTGATTTGCCAGTATTTTATTTAGTATTTTTGCATCAGTGTTCATGAGTGAGATTGGTCTGTAATTCTCTTTCTTAGTATTGTCTTTCTGTAGTGTGGGTATCAAGGTAATTGTAGCCTTATAAACAGAGTTTGGCAATGTTCCCTCTGTTTCTATTGTGTGGAATAATTTAAGGAGTATTGGTATTAATTCTTCTTTGAAAGTCTTGTAGAATTCTGAGCTGAAATCATCTGGTTCAGGGCCTTTTTTGGTTGGGAGACTTTTGATGACTGTTTCTATTTCTTCAGCAGTTATAGGTCTGTTTAATTTGCTTATCTGGTCTTGATTTAAATGTGGTAAGTGATATTTATCCAGAAAGTTGTCCATTTCCTTTACGTTTTCCAATTTTGTGGAGTACAGGTTTTCAAAATATGACCTGATGATTCTCTGGATTTCCTCCGTGTCTGTTGCTATGTTCCCCTTTTCATTTCTGATTTTGTTAATTTGGATATTCTCTCTCTACCTGTTGGTTAGTTTGGATAAAGGTTTGTCTATTCTGTTGATTTTCTCAAAGAACCAATTCTTTGTCCTATTGATTCTTTGTATTGTTTTCTTTGTCTCTATTTTGTTAATTTCAGCTCTCAATTTTTATTATTTCCTGCCGTCTAGTTCTCTTAATCAGTAGTGTAGGTTTTTTCCAGCTTCTTTATGTAGGCATTTAGTGCTATGAACTTTCCTCTTAACACTGCTTTCATTGTGTCCCATAAATTTGGCTCTGTAGTGTGGTCATTTTCATTGAATTTTGGAAAATCTTTAATTTCCTTCTGTATTTCTTCCTTGAGCCATTGATGATTCAGGTGAGCATTGTTTAATTTCCATGTTCGTGGGTTTTCTGGAATTAGTATTGCTGTTGACTTCTAGTTTTAAAGGATGGTGATCTGATAAGTTACATTGGGTTATTCCTTTTTATTTTTGTATTTGTTGAGGTTTGTTTTGTTACCGAGTATGTGGTCAACTTTTGAGAAGATTCCATGAGGAGCTGAGAAGGTATATTCTTTTCTCTTTGGATGGAATATTCTATTGATGTCTGTTAAGTCCATTTGAGTCATAACATCTGATCGTTCTCTTATTTCTCTGTTCATTTTTTGTCTGACTGACCTGTCCAGTGGTTAGAGGGAAGTGATGAATTTCCACACTATTAATGTGTGGGGTTTAATATATGATTTAAGTTTTAAAAGTATTTCTTTGACATGAGGGTGCCCTTGTATTAGGGGCTTAAGTGTTCAGTATTGAAATTTCCTCTTGATGGATTTTTCCTGTGACTAATATGAAATGTCCTTCTTTGTCTCTTTTGACTGATTTTATTTTGAAGTCTATCTTGTTAGATATTAGGATAGCTACACCTGCTTGTTTCTTAGGTCCATTTCATTGGTATATTTTTTTCCCAACTTTTTACTCTGAGATGATGTCTGTCTTTGAGGTTGAGATGCGTTTCTTGTATGCAGAAGAGGGATGGATTCTGTTTTCGTATCCAATCTGTTAGCCTGTGCCTTTTTATAGGTGAGTTGAGTCCATTTACATTAAGTGATATGACCAGTGTTTGTTATCTCCTGTTAATTTAGTTTTCATCATTGGTGATATTAATTTGTGCATTTTTTTCTTCTTTGGTATTTGCTGTTATGATATCATCAATTGTGTTTTGTTGGTGTAGCCATCTTCCTTGGGTTGGAGTTTTCCTTCTAATATTTTGTGTAGGGCTGGGGTTGTGCCTAGGTATTGGTGAAATCTAGTGATTGACAGTTTTGCTGGATATAGTAGTCTGGGCTAGCATCTGTGGTCTCTTAATGTCTGCATAATGCTTGACCATGACCTTCTGGCTTTCATCATCTCCAATGAGAAGTGAGGTGTATTTCTGATAGGTCTACCTTTATATGTTACTTGGCTTTTTTCCTTTGCAGCTCTTTGGTGTGGGAGAATTGTCTGTATTCTGTCAATCATATTTTAATAAAACGCTGATTGGCCAGGCAGGCAGTATAGGTGGGAAAGTCAGACAGGAAGTATGAATGGAGCAAAGAGACTGGGAGTATTCTGGGAAGCAGGAAGCACCCTCCGCCACTCCTGCCCAGATCACCGAGGAAGCAACATGTGAGGTGACATCTGAAAAAGGTACCAACCCATATGGCTAACATAGATAAGGATAATGGGGTAACAAAAGTTATAAGAACTAGTAAGTAGGCAGAGCTAAGGGCCAATCAGTTTATAATCTTATGGAGTCCTGTGTGTGATTTTTATTGGGGCTTGCCGGTTGTGGGGTACTGGGCGGGACAGATACCCCAACAAGCCGGCCCTCTTAATATTCTTTCTTTACTCCCTATGTTTAGTGTTTTGATTATTTGTGGTGAGAGGATTTATTTTTTGGGTCCAGTCTATTTGGTGTTCTGTAAGCTTCTTGTATCTTCATAGGCATATCTTTCTTTATGAAGGAAAAGTTTTCTTCTATGATTTTGTTAAATAAATTTTCTGTGCCTTTTGAGTTGAACTTCTTCTATACCTATTATTCTAAGATTTGGCCTTTTAATGGTGTCCCATATTTCCTGGATATTTTGGGTTAAGCTTTGGTTAGATTTAATGTTTTCTTTAACTGATGAGTCTATTTCCTCTATTGTATCTTCAGCACTTGAGATTCTCTCTTCCACCTCTTGTATTCTGTTGTTCGTGCTCGTGTTTGTGGTTGCTGGTCTTTTTCTCATGATTTCTGTTTCTATAATTCCTTTGCTTTGTGTTTTATTTTCTCTATCTCAGTTTTCAAGTCCTTAATAGTTTCTTTAATATGTTTGAGTTCTTTTTCTTGGTTTTCTTTAAGTAATTTGCTCATATCTTCCAACTTTTTGGGGTTTTTTGCTCCATTTCTTTAAGATAATTTCTTATTTCATCTTTACAAATTTCAAACATTCTCTTGAAGTTATTTTATAGATCATTTTCTTCTGGTTCATCCATATTTGGTTGTTCAGGTTTTACTTTTGTAGGGTCTTTAGGTTTTACTGGTATTGTGTTGCTCTTTGTGGTGTAGCATGTGATCTTACCTTTTCTATTCATCTTTTCCTCTTATAGGTGTGGTTGGGACTGTCTGAGGTTCTGTTGAATCCAAAGCTCAGATGGTTGTTCCTTGTGGTACAGTCAGTGTCACAGTTCTAGTTACCCTGTTGATTATTCCTGTTCCTGAGGTAGCTCAGTGCTACTGTGCTTTGGTCTCCTCCCTTGGAGTTTGTTGTCTCAGGCCTACTTTGGTCTAGGCTGCTGGCTTTGTTCTATTTCTGTCAATCTTCGTCTGGATCTCCTCCTGCTGAAGTCCCTGGCTTGAAATTGGACCTGTTGTGGTGATCGCTGACTCTGAATCCTGTCATTGGCTCAGTCCTGATCCGCCCATGTCCCAGGACTGGGTTTGCTTCTGGCTTCTGCTCCTGATGGAACTTGTTCTCTCTATGTCTTAGGCAACTGGTTCATTCCCACTCAGATTCCGATGGTCAGGTTATTGGCTCAATCCTGGTCTGTCTCAGGACTGGGTTGGCTCCCAGGGCTGGATTTGCTCTTGGCTTCTGCTCCCAGTGGAGCTTGTTTCCCCTCAATCACCTTAAAATTTTCGGGAAAATTAATATCTCAATGAAGCCCAGGTGTTCAGAGATGTAAACTATATAGGTCTGAGGATAACTTCTTTGTTTCATTTGTTTTTAAGACAAGAGTCTCACTATACAGCTCAGGCTTCCCTTGAACTCACTAATTTGCTGTTTCTGCTTCTCACAGGGATAGATTGTAGAAGGCTGATATTAATTCCAGACTGGCTTACAACAGTAAGAGCAACATGCCTGCCACTACATGGGCTCACAATACTAGGAGCAACATGCCTGCCACCACATGGGCTCCTCGGCCACCCAACATCACCATGCCCTTTCCTTTCTAAGGGACTTAGACTTTTGGTAGTGGTTTCTCTGTGTAGCTCTGGCTGTTCTGGAACTTGCTCTCTAGACCAGGCTGGCCTTGAACTCAGAGATATGTAGTCATCACCCTGCAGGACTGAGATTTTCTAACGCACCTTTAGACTTTGTATTCAGCTTGAACTAAAACCAGTGATGTCTTGAGAAGCCAGACATGTGACAATTGTCAAGGTGAAGACCCATATAAAAAACACAACAACTTTTAACATTATTTTAGAATATTTAATGTTTATGTGTATCTGTGTACATGAATATGGCGGGGGGGGGGGGATAGCCATAGAAGCCAGAAGAGGCATCAGATTTCCTGGAACTGTAGTTACATGGGTGTGAATAACCTAACTTGAGTACTCTACAGGGGTGCTCTCAAACACTAAACTATCTTTCCACACAGACCCCTAACATTCTTTTTTAAAGAAAAAGGTATTCATCTAAAGTGCTATTCGTGAAGTATAAGTCCAGAGGCCAATTTCCACAAAGTTTTTTCTTGTTATTTTGTTTTCCCCACAGTTTTTAATTGTGTATTATGGGAGGCAGTCATGACAAGCTCAATAGAGGCCGGAGTCTCAGGAGTTTACCCTGAGGCAATACCTGGTTATAAAAAAGACCACAAACTGAGAACACCCAGGCACCACCCAGGAACAGACCATCAAAAACAAATTCCCAATGTTCCAACAGTTGTAGATAGGATCATCTGCCATCACACAAACATTGCTTTTCACCAGGAAACCCCTATACAGATGTCAGCCAATCAGGGATCCTGAACCTTAGAAATCCCTCACCCCGAACTTTGCTACCACAAAAACCCAACCCTAACTAAGCCAACTCTCCAACTACTCCAATGTGATGGACACATGGAGAGCTCAAGTATGCAAGCTTGTGTAATAAAGGCTCTTTGCTTTTACATACAGGCCTTGGTCTTCTAGTTAGTTATGGGGGACTCCATGATCTGGGCATAATAGTATCAGTGATGGAAAAGCAGTTATTCTCACCATTAAAATACATAGCTTAAAAAAAAAAAAGACTTTTCTCGGTGGAAAAGACAACAGCAGTATAAAAAAAAAAGCACATTTCTTCCTTTTTTTTTCCCTTTCTTTTTCTTTTTGGTTTTGAGAGACAGGATTTCTCTGTGTAACAGCCCTGGTTGTCCTGGAACTTGCTCTGTAGACCAGGCTGGCATCAGACTCACAATGATCCACCTGCCTCTGTCTCCCCGGTGCTGGGATTTAAAGATGTGCGCTACCAGTTAAGTTCAAACCAGTTCATCACATACGGTGCGATACTTTGAGTTCTTAACATCCTCCACATCCTGTTCCAGGGGCCGCTTTCGACTGGGAGGCTTGAAATAAAGCAAAGGGAGAAATGTTCATAAGAAAAGCACGGCTTCTATCAAAACTCCTCATAGCATGGGGGCATTTCATGGGAAATGGTAAGGATCAAGAATCACTAGTGGTCACGACAAATGAATCCTCCTAATATGCCTCTGGAATCAAGATGCTTATCTACTCTGCCTGGGGATCTCTAACTGCTAATGTATGTTCAGTTTTTTATTTTTCGTTTGTTGTTGTTTGAGTTTTGTTTTATTTTTTTGCCTTACAATGATACAAAATCAAGTTCAAATTTGGATCTCTCCTCTCTCTAGCAAAATTCTGGGTCAGGCATGATTTAAGGCAGTCAGAGCTCCCAGCAAAGCACGGGGTTAGGAGTACCAGGAGAGCTCACACACTATTGTGTCACAGAGACTGGAATTATTAAAGGAAGTTTTTAAGTTTTAAAATGCCTCCAACTGAAGACTGAGTTCCCCCAGGATGTGAGCACACAGGATGTAAGCTGAAGAACACCTAAACACGGATAGCAGCGGCACCAACAGCTTCTCTCAGTCATCATCCCCTGACCTGTGTTAAAGGGGGCTTGCCTCGCACTGAGTCCTGCTCAACCCCCAGCACAATGTGCATAGGGGACCTAATCTCTCTCATAGCCACAAGCTTTGCTGTTTCATGGGAACAACAATCTTTTCTGTCATAATTTATTTTCCTATTTATAAAATCAAGAAAAAAACAGCAAGAATAAAGGAGCAAGATCATTGACCAAAGCAAAACAGAACAGGAATAAATAAGCATACTAGTTTATGCTTACAAAGAACTTTAAAAGAATAAAACTGCAATCAAGAAATCACCACAAGAAAACTCATTATCTTACTCACTAACCAAAAAAAAAAACTTAGAAAGAGAAAATCATCATAGACTGCTTGCTCAAGTTTTACATTTTTCAGAAACGTAAATTTGTGCCTCTAACAGGGTATTCCACCTTGCCATGAAAAAGACCTTTGGATTAACAAGCTCTATATCTGTTGCTCCAATTCATGCAACACAACCTGCATTATTAAATCTTCCAGAGTTGCAGGAACATAAATTAAACAAAGAATAGAGACACTGGCTTGGCCTGGAAGGCTTGCTTAAACAGCATGGGCCCCAGGTTCAATCCCAAGTATGGCCAGCAAGTAAAAAAATAAGTATCTACTATACTATACTTGTAAGATAGAGTCACACTATGTAGACCAAACCAATCCATAACTCAGAATTCCCCTGCCTCTGTCCAGATTCAATGCCCTGTCTCCATCTCCTAAGTGCCGAGATTATATGTGTATGTTACCAAGCCTGTCATTAAGCACCTGCCACTGCATAGAATCTTCAGTCATTAGAGTTGCTCATCAGAGATTTAATTCTAGGCTACAGTTCAGTCATCAAAATACCTGAGCGGGAGTCAAGGGGAGGGCCATCAAATTCTTTTCCTGAGCCAGTAGATCCTGAAATTTTTTCTTCATGCACTCATCCTGCGAAGAGATCAAAAAGCAAAGACAGGCTACATATGAGGAGAAGCAAGTTCCTAGAGTGACAGCCCAAGGCTGCCATCCTAAAACCAAACATCATGCATTTGCGGAAGTCTTCTCATGAAGGGATTATGACTGTTTACCCCTCCCTTCTCAGAATAGTCAGTGCTCAGTAAGCACTGGCTAAATCAAACCCAAGGGTCATGGGCTCAGAGTTAACCAGCGAGGCAGATCCCCAGCTAATGGTTCAGAACTAACCCTAAACCCTGAGTAGTCAGGAGGCTATAATGCAGAGTTGAGTTGCCACAGAAACAAACCCTTCCTACCACAAATATCACCAATTACCTAGGAAATTCACACAAGAAGTGTCAAGCAAGTTGACAGCAGTACCTTAAGCTATAAACCTCAATCCCACATCTTATAGTAATAAACAGGACCAAACACTGGAGATGTGGAACGCGGTGGCATAGCAAAGAGAACTTGTTTCCCAGTGTGCATAATTTGCTCCCAACTCCCTAAAGGTAAAATCCCGCAGGATTTGAGGCCTGGCATGTAGAAGCCCTGACAGGTAGCCTGGCACTGCCCCCCATTTTCAGAAACATAAAACGGAATCTATCGATGGAATGATGGGTACCAGGTAAAGACTGGAGAGATGCTCAGAGGAAGACATGAGTTAATTCCAGTACCAGAGGATTTACTCTCTCTGTACTCCTCAGGCACTGCACTCAAATACGCACAAACCCACACAGCCTCACTATGTAGCCATGGCTGCACTGGACTCACTAAGTAAAGCAGACAGCCCTTGAATCACAGAATCTGCCTTCATCAGCTATGCTGGGATTCCTTTGATGTAAGCACTCAGGAGACAGGTGGCTTGTATGTCTGAAGCCATTCTGACTGGCAGGATGAGCTCCAGTTAGACTTTGTCAATGCCACACACACTAGAATCATCTTGGAAGAGTGGATCTCAATTGAAGAATGGCCTCCATAAGATTAACCTGTGGGCATTTATGTAGGGCATTTTTTTTCATTAATGAGTGAGATGGGAAGAAAAAAAAAGCCCAATGTAGGTGGTGCCACCCCTAGGCAGGTGGTCCTAGTTTATATGAGAAAGCAAGCTAACAAGCCACAGAGCAAGCCAGTAAACCACTCCTCTACAGTCTCTGCTTCACTTCCTACCTTCAGGATTCTGCCTTGGGTTTCTGCCCTGACGGACTCAGTGACAGACTGTGATGAGAAAGTGTAAAATGAAACACACCCTTTCCTCTCTAAGTTGGTTTAGTTGGTATTTATCACAGGAACAGAGAAACCAAAGTAGGACAGAAATCGTACGCACAGAATACAGACCCAGATTTCAAAGCCCTGTGTATTTTCTCACAACATTTTTCTATCTCTACTATGGCATCTAGGATGAAATGCTTCCAAAATGAGCAGTTCTGTGGAGATGGGAAATTCCCAGTACCAAAGGACAAATAATGAGTTCCTCTCTATCTACTAATGGGAAGCAGCGCTTTCTGCCATCCCTGTCTTATTAGTTACTCTGAGTGGCTCACAGAGTACCTGTCTTGACAGTACCAACCTTGTAAGTACATTCTCCATGGCCTTAGGATTTAATGCAGAATCACCCCTGAAGTGTTCCTACCACTATGTACTGCACTGCTCTGTATAGCATGGCACCTAACAGTGTTTGAGATATGAATTCATTACCTGTGCTCTGAAGGAACTAATGAGTAAACAGAAAAACCACATGGAATGCCACTGTGATTTAGATAAGTGCCCCCAAGTCCTATGTATTAAATGCTTGGCACCCAACAAGAACGCTACTGGAGGATAAGGAGCCTTAAGGGCAGACGGAAAAAGTTATAGTATTAGACGATACCTCTGGAAGGAACTCTGGACTTCCTCCTCTTCCTTTTTTAAAAATCTTTCAGGATGTGGGTGTGTGTACAGCTTGGGCACTCACATGTACACATACCTGATTGGGATTTCCCCTATGTATGTTATTAATATGTTTTATTACCATTGGTTAATAAAAAAGCTGCTTTGGTCTATGGCAGGCCAGTATAGAGCTAGGTCAGAAAACCAAACTGAATACAGGAGAAAAGAAGGTGAAATCAGGCAGACAAATTGTAACTGCTGAAGGAGAAAGATGCCAGAACCTTACCAGTAGGCCACAGCCTCGTAGTGATACACATATTAATAGAGATGGGATAATTTAAGATGTAAGAGCTAGCTAGAAATACACCTGGGTCATTGGCCAAACAGTGTTGTAATTATAGTTTCTGTGTAATTATTTGGGCCTGGGCAGCGGGGAAACAAACTGCAGTCTCTGTTTACATAATGATGCCCAATGTAGGGCAATGTACATCCACATAAAGCCAAAAAACCTTTCAAGAAAGGTCTTCTAGAACCACAGAAATGGGAGTCAATTGGAGCTTCTTGGTAGCCACATATTTTCAGATAGACTCTGTTTGCTGGTGGTGAGCAGAGGCAAGGCTCCTTTAAGAGAAGGCTTCCTGACTCAGCATTAGCAGCAAAAACTGTGTGATTTATGCTGGCTACGTGGCTCTGGCTCTTTCAAGAGTTTCTACTACAGAGCACTTAAATGGGGTTTGTGAGCAGCGTGCTATAAATTGCTTAATGGTGACAAAGACCCGCTGCATCCCTGGAGCTGGGGTGATGAGTGGTGAACATGCCTCTGTCATGTTGGACTGGGTGAAATCAACAGGCAAAGCAGCAGTGTTAGTCCTAGCTTAGCATTTTAAGAGGAGCTCCTAGTCAGAACAGAATTATAGATACACAATAAAGACAAATTCAGACAAAAAAAAAAAGACCTCTAAATGGGTCAGTGTTGGATAAATGTACTTAGACTTAGGAGAGTACAGTCATAGATTAAAGGAGTAAAAATAATAAATACTAAAAAGTAATAGAGTAAAAAATCCACATAAAAATGGAAAATACACAGAGTCTGGGTTATGTATAGTATTGTGTTGTCTTTAAATTTTTCGACAGCGAATGAACTAAGTTCAGAGAGACATTTCATTGTATGGGTTGCTAAGCTAAACCAACATATATATGTTAAAGGTATCTTGACTTCAAAATCTGAGTTTAAGGATATATTAGTTTTAGAAAGAGATTCTGTTTTTGTTTCCACATTAGATGAGAACCTGTGGATTCCTTCTAGGCTAATATGGCTTGATAAAACAAGACCCCCTAAAAGGTCTCCAAAAACCCTAAAAATACTTCACCTAACAAAGAGCAAGAAGTTTGGAAAAAAATTACACCAAGTTCCCACCATGATTGTTTCTTTTCATTTAAAGGGGGTTGATTATAGTTAAATGGTCACAGTCAACATCTTTCTTGAAAAAAAAATGGGAAGAAATGATATAGAAATTAATATTTTGCATTAGTACAGCTCTTGGTCTATTGAAACAAACTGAAAGTTGATTTGGTTGCACTGTGTTTATGTATTTCTGCTCCTGTTTTGTACAGCTCATTTAAAGTGTAATGTATAGTTAAGAGATACAGATTAATAGTCACATAAAATAATTAAATTTTTAATTATGTTAGGTTTTCTAAATATACAGAGATGTATTTCGGTTGAACAGATAAATCTTCAACACGCCAAAGACCTACAAAATTTGGCATTTGAAATGTTTTGTTAATTTAGGTATATTCATGACAATGAAACACATCTGCTCCTGGCAGTACCAATTTATTTCAGAGATGATGGGCACTGAAGAAACACCTTATGGAGTTTGCTATCTTTGTGGCAAGATAAGCCATTTGAGCAATAAGCTTCTCATGCTTGGACTGCTTGACAGTATGCTGTGTAAACTGGACATTCAAGACCCACAGGAAAGTGACCTTTGCTGGACTAAAAAAGATGAGGTAGTCCTTCAGAATTCCTGCTTCACAAAAGAAACTGCCAGATATTCTGTAGGACACAGAGGAAAGTAACTGACAAACAACCAATATAGATGGGACATTCTTTCAAATTCCTAAATTCATGGAAAAGTCTGCTGTATGTTATGGGCCTATAGGTTGAAGATGGATGCCAATGTTACAGAAGAACTTTGGGTGACTGTCCAGGCAACGAAATGTCTCTGTTAATAGAGTTTTAAAAGTTGCTTACAAGGTACTTCCTGTATACTTAGGTAATATATCCTTGTGGGTCTTTGATGGAGTTAAAGACAGATAGTTATAGTTTTCCTTAGTTATAATAAAATATAAATTAGATATTAGAAATATTGTAACTAAATTCTTGACTGATAACTGTTTTATATATGTAATTTTACTATGTTAAAGTTAAAACCTTCCTTTTTATTTAGACAGAAGAGATGATGATGTTGGATTCCCCTCTGTATGCTAGGAATATATTTTATTACCATTGGTTAATAAAAAGCTGCTTTGGCCTATGGAAGGCCAGAATAGAGCTAAGCGGGAAAAGTAAACTGATTGTAGGGAAAAAGTAGGCAGAGTCAGGTATACACCATGCAGCTGTTAAAGGAGAAAGATTCTGGAACCTTACCAGTACACCACAATCACGTGGTAATTCATAGATTAATAGAAATGGGTTAATTTAAGATATAAGAAGTCTCCATTTACACAAACCTGATGAGGGATTCCCCTCTATATGCTGTGAATTATTGGTTAATGAATAAAGCTGTATTGGCCAGTGCCTTAGCAGAATAGAGCAAGCCAAGAATAGAGCAAGCCAAGCAGATACAGGAGGAAAGAAAGCAGAGTCAATGAGACACCATGTAGCCACTGCAAGAGGCAGACACACCAGAACCTTGCCAGCAAAAAAGCCTCGTGGTAAAATATAAAATAATAGAAATGGGTTAATTTAAGATGTAAGAGCTAGGTAGAAATATGCTTAAGCTATATTGCAAATAATATAGTTTCTGTGATTATTTCAGGTCTGGGCAGCCAGGAAACAAACAAGCAGTTTCCACCAACACATACCCACACACATATATCCATAATTAAAATAAACCTTACCAGGTCTTCTTCAGACATGCTATAGCATGCATGTGGAGGTCAGAGGACAGCCTTGGATGTTAGTCCTCATCTTTTCTCATGTTTAAGAACTTAAAGAGTCTCTTGCTGCCACCACTGTGCACAGTCAAGCTGACTGGACTGTGAGCTTCAGAGAAGTCTGCACCCCCAACCTCTCAGCTCCTTGTTTGTGTAGGACAAGCACCTCATCCATTGAGCCATCTCCTCAGAGCTTCTTCCTCTCTTTTCTCACATCAGTCATGGACTAAACTAAACTAAGGTCATGCTCAACCTCCTTAGCAATCAGGGAAATGCAAATCAAAACCACTTTGAGATACCATCTTACACCTGACAGAATAGCTAAACACAAAAAAACCAATGATAGCCTATGTTGGAGAGGATATGGAGTGGGGGGAACACTCATCCATTGTTGGTGGGAATGCAAACTTGTGCAGCCACTGTGGAAATCAGTGTGGCGATTTCTCAGGAAACCGGGAGTCAACCTCCCTCAGGACCCAGCAATTCCACTCTTGGGAATATACCCAAGAGATGCCCTATCATACTACAAAAGTATTTGTTCAACTATGTTCATAGCTGCACTATTTGTAATAGCCAGAACCTGGAAACAACCTAGGTGCCCCTCAATAGAAGAATGGTTAAATAAGGTGTGGAACATATACACATTAGAGTTTTACTCAGCGGTAAAAAACAATGACATCTTGAATTTTGCATGCAAATGGATGGAAATAGAAAATGCTTTACTGAGTGAGGTAACCCAGACCCAAAAAGAGGAATATGGTATGTACTCACTCATAATTCGTGATCCTAGAGAAGCTAAATAAGAAGGTGAACCTGAAGAAAATCATATAGTTATCCTCCTGGATATTAGAAGTAGACAAGATTGCCAGGCAAACTTGGGTGCACGGTGGGGAGAGGGGTAGAAGTAAGGGGAGATGGTTAGGGAGAGGGGAGAGGGGGAGGATTGGGGATGGCTTGGGGGAATGGGATGGGGGGAGGGAGGAAGGATGGTTATGGGAGCATGGAAGTTTATATCTCAACTAAGGGAGCCATTTTAGGGTTTGCAAGAGACTTGATTCTGGAGGGGTTCCCAGGCCCAAGGAGAGGTCCCCAGATTGTTCCCTGGGCAGCAGAGGAGAGGGTGCCTGAACTGGCCTTGGCCCATAGCCATACTCATGAATATTTTGCATGTCACCACAGAACCTTCATCTGGCGAAGGATGGAGATAGAGACAGAGACACATATTGGAACACTGGACTTAACTCCCTAGGTTCAAATGAGAAGCAGAGGGAGGGAGAACGTGAGCAAGGAAGGCAGAACCAGTAGGAACCTTCATCCGATGATGGATGGAGATAGAGACAGAGACCCACATTGGAGCACTGGACTGAGCCCCCAAGGTCCAAATGAAGAGCAGAAGGAGGGAGAACATGAAAAACGAAGTCAGGACCGCGAAGGGTACGTTCACCCACTGATACAAGGAGACTGATCGAATGAGAGCTCACCAAGGCCAGCTGGACTGTGACTGAAGGAGCATGTGATCAAACCGGATTCTCTGAATGTGGCTGACATGGGGGCTGACTGAGAAGCCATTGACAATGGCACTGGGTCTTGTTTTGTCTGCATGTACTGGCTTTTTGGGATCCTGGTCTGTTTGGATGCTCACCTTCCTGGACCTGGAGGGAGAGGGGAGGAACTTGGACTTCCCACAGGGCAGGAAACCCTGACTGCTCTTGGGACTGGTGAGGAAGAAGAGGGAGTGGGGGGAGCAGGAGGATGTTGGGAGGAGGGGAGGAAGTGGAAATTCTTTAAATAAATAAATAAGGAAAAAAATATCAAATGAAAAAAAGAAAGCATATTTAACAAGTAGTGCTGACATAACTGGACATCAACATGTAGAATAATGAAAATAGACCCATATCTATCACCACGCACAAAACTCAAGTTCAAATGGATCAAGGACCTCAAAATAAAGCCAGCCACACCGAACCTTATAGAAGAGAAAGTGGGAAGTACATTTGAACGCAATGGTATAGGAGACCACATCTAAATATAGCCCCAGTAGCACAGACACTGAGAGAAACTAATAAATGGGACCTCCTGAAACTGAAAAGCTTCTGTAAAGCAAAGGACATGGTCACCAAGACAAAACAACAGCCTACAGAATGGGAAAAGATCTTCACTAACCCCACATCAGACAGAGGTCTGATCTCTAAAATATACAAAGAACTCAAGAAATTGGTCATCAAAAGAACAATATAATATAATAACCCAATAAAAAATGGAGTACAGACCTAAACAGAGAACTCTCAACAGAGGAATCTAAAATGGCTAAAAGACACTTAAGGAAATGTTCAACATCCTTAGTCATCAGAGAAATGCAAATCAAAACTGTCTTGCACCTGTAAGAATGGCCAAAATCAAAAACAATGATGACAACTTATGCTGGAGAGGTTGTGGGGTAAAGAGAACACTCCTACATTGCTGGTGGGAATGCAAGCTGGTACAGCCCCTTTGGATGTTAGTGTGGCAATTTCTTAGGAAATTAGGAAACAACCTTCCTCAAGACCCAGTAATACCACTTTTGGGTATATAACCAAAGGATGCTCAATCATGCCACAAGGACATGTGCTCAACTATGTTCATAGCAGCTTTGTTTGTCATAGCCAGAACCTGGAAACAACCTAAATGCCCCTCAACTGGAGAATAGATAAGGAAAATGTGGTACATTCACACAATGGAGTACTACATAGCAGAAAAAAAAATCTTGAATTTTGCAGGAAAATGGATGGAGCTAGAAAACATTATTTTGAGTGATGTAACCCAGACCCAGAAAGACAATTATCACATATACTCACTTATAGGTGGTTTTTAAACATGAAGCAAAGAAAACCAGCCTACAAACCACAATCCCAGAGAACTCAGACAACAATGAGGACCATAAGTGAGACTTACATAGATCTAATCTACATGGGAAGTAGAAAGTAGAAAAAGACAAGATCTCCTGAGTAAATTAGGAGCATGGGGACCTTTGGGGAGGGTTGAATCGGGAGGGGAGAGGCAGGGAGGGGAGCAGAGAAAAATGTAGAGCTCAATAAATATCAACTTAAAAAAAAAGATTAGGGCAGAGCCATGCTTCATGTTTTCTTGTTTGTGCATAACAGATTTCTTTTGAGACAGAAGTACAAACAAAATGGGTTATGTTGACTCATGCATCTCAGACAAATACAAATCCCCGTTGCTAGGCCTAACTATTTGAATGTTAACACAGAAACACAACACGGTGTGTCTGCCTCCACTTGGATCCCAGAAGCTGCCCCCCTATTAAAGCATGTGAAAGGAGCCAAGGAGTGGGTTTCTCTTTTTCATCAAAGTTAAAACCCCACATGTAGTGACACCTTTGTTTCCAAACTCCTGGTCTCCAAGGCCCTTGCTGTTTTCAGATCTGTGTGATCTAGCAAACACTAAATCATCTGAAAGATTTATTCTAGGAGGAAAATGTTTACAGGGCAACATCCAAAACACATCTATCTGTTTTTTCTTTTTCCTCCCCCCCATCTTCCTCTTTTTTCTTAATATTTTATTGCATTTTTTGCTTATTTATCTTATGTGCACATGTGTGGAGTCAGAGGACCATTTCAGTAATCAGTTCTCTCCTTCCACCATGTGTACTGGGGATCAAACTCAGGTCCCCAGGTTTGGTGCTGGGCCTGGTGATCCAACCAGTCACTGTCTTTCTTTTGAGGATTTGTTGTTATCAACTTAAGCTGGTCTGATCAAAACTTAGGTTTGGAGAATTACAAGTGAGAAAGTGGACAATCTTCTGGAGTCCCAGAAGACTAACAGGGACACTTGCTTTTTCAAGGTGTCCTGGGAACAGAGAACCACGGAAGGTAACGTCACCCAGGCCCAAACAGAAGCCATAAGGAATTCATAGCAAAGTGTGGCCACGCTGAGCAGCAGAATCACATCTACCAGAATACTGGTAGATACTGCTAGATACTCTGGTTAATTAACTCCAAGCCAGCAATTAATCTCCCAAAGTCATAGACACTCTGACAGCAGCTTTGAATGAGCTTGGCACAAAAATCTCACAGCAACAGGGATGTGTGAACACAGACATCATGCAAACTAAAAGGGTGCAGGTGACAACCTGCACTAAGGGCATGCTGGCTCACTAGGAACAAGAGTGAGACCCTTTAAAACATAACCACCTGGCTCAGGAAGTGACTGGGTTCCCTCAGGGAGACTGCCTTCCTGGACCTGCCCCAGATTTCTTGATTGAAGGTGAAAAATGGCTGGAACACAGCCCAGCCCACTCCACCTGGTAGAGGAGGAGCAGAAAAAGGAGACAGCTGGGCATTGAGGAAGACCAAGCTCTCAAAGGATTATGCTGCAATGTCAAGGCAGCCAAATGGAACCAGAACCTAACATGAAGTGAGCTTGTTCATCCAGGAGCTATGTATGAGTTGCAAGGAAGGAGCTGACATCCCAAACACACACACAAATCCATTCAACCTCCCTCCTTACCTCCCCTCATCTCTTCCTCCTTCTTTCCCTCCTCCACACGTGTATCCTGATTGAAAACCATTTACACACACACTATACCTACAATCAAATTGAAAACACTTACATAAATGAATCCAAAAACAGAGACTGTGTGTGACCCTCAGCCTCACCTCACTTACGCAGTTCAGGACTCCCCTTAATTTTAGGCAAACATGCATTGCCTCACACACCCACCTGTAGCCATGGATGATTCAAGGCTTCCTCAGTGGTAAACCTAGATTTTGGATCCACAACCAACAGTTTCTTGACAAGGTCCAGAGCTAAGAAAGCAGAAAATTGGGAAAATCATAATGAAAAAAAAAAATGAATACATTCCACCTGTGTTTTTAAACTATGTCAGAACTACAGATCACCAGTCAGAGAGAAGAGCAGTAAGAAGTCAGCCGATTTGGTGGAGAGAGCTCTTCAAGTCCCTCCCTCTCTGAACGCAGAGAAGTGGAACCTTCTGGATAAGAATATAGCCCATTACTCCCTGCTGGGACATCACAATTTTTGGGCTTCTTCTTTCCTTTCTTGTTGCTGTAATCGAGTTTAGGCTAATTAAAACTGAACTTCTACCCAGTTATAAGATACTCAGGATGCACCAACTCTGCATCCCATTGCTTGATGGTAAGACCAGAAACTAGTTCTCTTCTAGGCATGTGAAAATAAAGCCCAACCCCACAGGCCAGCAACAGCCAAAGCCTAGCTTGCAAGCTGCAGCAATATTCCTTCTGGAATCCCTGATATTTAACACTATCACCTATGTTATACTATTGGACATTTAGTCTTCACCTACTTTTTCTCCAGAAAGTTGCAAAGGTGCACTTTTAAATTATAAAATACAGCTAACTGATGACATTAAACTTTTCCACTCTTCTTACTCTAAGAAATGTTTGTTATTAAAAGTTATTTTGCACACTTGAATGGGTAGCAGGCCCTTGTGTATGTTATATTAAACCTCACACAAAATCTTTAAGGTCAGGGCTATTGATCACTTATTTACAAATAAAGAAAATGGAGAACCAAAAAGTTAAGTAACTTGCCTAAGGTCAAAAAACTAACAAATACCAGACTTAGGAGTTCATCTCAGTCTCAAAATCCCAGGCTCTTAATAATATCTTCTTCCCTTCAAATGGTGCAAAGCAATGGAACAAAACAGACAGGAGAAAAAAACACGGAGTTTGAGAAGAAACTCCCACCAAAAAAACACCCATATTCAGTAAAACTCTTTTGTGTCCATACCCTTCTCTGAAACATCTGTCCAGACTTCAGGAATAAAGTTGTATTTTCCACTGGTGATTTGATCCTTCAGTGACACTTGAGTCTTATGCTCAGAGAAAGGCGGATACCCACTAAGGCTTAATATTGGCAGAGAAAGAAAGGAAAAAAGATCAAGTGGCATTCTTAGTGCCATTTGGATACACAGGTCTTTTCAGCATTGAGAAAAATCAGTTTTTCCTTGAATCAATGATTTAAAAATGACCTAAATCAAACAGAAGCTCTCTACCCAGACACAGGTACAGCTTCCATCTGCCCTCATCCAACTAGACTGTGAAACAGAAAATGTTTCCTACCAGATGAAAAGAATAACTCCTAAGCTCCAGCAGTCTACCGCACGGCTGTACCCAGCAGTCCCATTGGAGACAAGGACCTCAGGAGCCAGATAAGTCGGCGTACCACATAAAGTTCTCATCAGTGATGTCTCCCCCAAAATCTTTGACTGTCCAAAATCAGTGATCTAAAATTATAAAGGAAACAAACAAAATCCAAACACAATCACAGCCAATCATTCCCAAGAAACATGGATTAGCTATTAGTCACACACCCTCCATTAAACCAAAATGTACAATTTCATATCTTTGCAAAGCATTTAATTTTGCTTAAAAGAAAATCCCTGGGCCCAGGAACCTGAGAACCAAGATTTTTCCATCATTATAACCTTAACAAAAACTGCATAAGCCCTGCCACAAACACATTAGGACCCTTAATACTTAGGCATATTTTTTAGACCCAAAACCCTTAAATTAAACTACACCATGGAACATCTGGAAAGCTTGGGAAGTAGGGAGAAATGCACCTGTTCTCACCCTCGAATTTTGGGGTCTTCTTGTTAGTTTTTGTCTAGTAATTCTAACGGGAGATTCTAAAGTGAGGTTAGGCTGAGAAGGCGGAATCCATGACTCGAAGGTCCATTCAGACCCTTCCTCTCTGAACACAGAAGTGGCTTGTATACACAGAGCTCAATAAGCGCTCCTTAGATTGGTAGAATATGGTGTGACCTCAGCAATAACCGTTAAGTATGGGAAATTCAGATTCTCAACCTTTAGATATACCTATTTTTTTATGTAATAAATTAAAGGACAGTTTTGAAAAGAAATATACAGCGGTGGCAACAGAGTGAATGAAAAGTTCCCACCTTGATAAGGCAGTCCTCTTCTTGAGAAGACAAAAGAACATTCTCTGGCTTTAGGTCCCGATGTATAATCCCATTTTCGTGAAGGTACTGTACAAAAAGAGAGGCAGGACCATTGTTTTATACCAAACACATGCCCTCCAAGTCAAAAACATAGACGGGGCTATATAGATTTTGTTTTTCTGAGATGACTTTGTCCATGGTAGGCAAGCACTCTACCTCTGAAGTGTTTTCCACTTTCATTTCGAAACAAGGTCTCTCTAAATTGTCTAAGCTAGCTTTGAACGAGACTCATGCCTTAACCTCCCCCAAGTAGCCGGGATTCCAGGCTATGGCACCAGGTCATTTCTTTACTTCTCTTTCTTACTGTCTCTCACACTCCCAGTAGCATTTGATCATCTGAGTCACGGGGACAGGCATTTTCTCCTAGAAGATGTCCTTGCCAACCACAAGAGGGCTTCTCTCACCTGCACAGCCAAAAGCATCTGGTAGAAATAGAGCTTGCAGGTTGCTTCCTTCAGGCGTTTGTTCACCACCCGGTCGAAGAGCTCCCCACCTTCCATCCTGAAACACAAACAAAGAGGGACCTTCACTTGTGGAGGCACAGCACAAAAGAAACAAACGCATCTAGCTCAGCAAAATGGTGTGTGTGTGTGTGTGTGTGTGCGCGCGTGCGCGCGCGCGCGCGCATGAACGCATGCCTCACAAGTAAAGGCCCTGGCCTGGAACTCTAGCACTAAAGCACAGGTCACTTTTATCCAGTCTTCACATAACTTTTAAAATTAATGCGCTTGACTGAGCGTTGTAGGGCTTGACTTTAATCCCAGCACTCAGGTAGAGTTCAAGGCCACCCTGTTATGGTCTACATAGTAAGCCCCAGGCTAGCCAGAGATACATGATACCCTGCCTCAAAACAAACAAATAAATAAATAATCTTGAAGGCTGAGAGAAATGGCTCAGTTGTTAAGGCTCACTGAATCCCCAAGGGTCCCCTCAGCTCTTCTCAACCTATCCCCTCCTCTAAACTTCTGCAGCTTCTGGGCTTCCCATATCTTCCCTGCCTTTTGGGCCATGTGCTCGCTTGGTTCTCTTGGCTCTCCTCCTTGCTCTTTCTTGTTCCTCTCTCCTTCTCTTCATTTCTCTCTTCTCTCATAGCCTGGTTTATTATGCTACTTCTCCCCCAGCTCTGAACTCTTCCAGATGCCTTTCGCTGTGCTCTCCCTTATATCTACAATAAACCTTCTCCTCAACCATACCTCGGAGCGGTCATGCCCTCATTCACTCACCTCTCCGTGCCTAACTCACAAGTGCCTGTAACTCCAGCTCCAGGGAAGCAAAGCCCACCTCTGACCTCTCTGAGCAAATTGGCAGTCATGTGTACACACATGCACACACACACACACACACACACAAACTTAAAAATAATATAAAATAAATCTTCTAACAAATTAATGAGCTATTAAAAGTCTCATCCACAGTCAGATGCCCCAGCTAGAAAAGAAGAAAAAGTGGAATAGCATGACTTCTTTGGGAACTTTCAAAAGTCTGGTTCCAGCAAGGTGGTGGTGGCCCACATCTTTATATTTTGGTTGTGAGCCTAGCCTTTAACAGCTGAGCCATCTCTCCAGCCCAAAATATGTATAGCCCAGGCTGGCCTCGAACTCGTGACCCTCCTGCCTCTGCCTCCTTCAGCAAATCCTACCGGCGTGCGCCACCACAACTGGCTGGCCCACATCTTTAATCCTACCCACGATAACTGATGTCAAATAAAGACATAATTGGTGGTACATTATCTATAAGCCCAGTACTCAGAAAAAAGAGGCTGGTACATTCAAGGAGATCCTGAGCTACACAAAGCATTTAATACCAAAGTGGGCTACATGAGACTCCACCTCAAGAAAAAAAAAAAAGAGTATTAAGTGAGGGCTGAGAATGTAGGGAGGGCATGTGCCTACCATGTGCAAGACCCTAGGTTTGAGTCCACCCACAGAGCAGAACTACTGGTGCAGGTAAAAAGCATGGCACAATGCAGATGTTCAATGAGGAAACGTCAACAGTGAAGCAGTAACCCACTGGAACTTGTAGGAGCGTTATGAAAGATAGATAAGTCCATTCAAGGGAAACACTGACAGCAATACTGGGCTCACAGCAAGGCTTTAACAAGCAGCAGTGACCATTGATTATATTGTTACTACTATTATTAATTTGTTACCTGAACTCGTGCAGGTGCTGAGAATTGAACCCAAAGTTTCCGGAAGAGCAATCAGTGTTCTTAACCACTGAGCCATGTTTTCAGCCTTTCTATAAATAATATGTACACACACACTACTGCTGGATGTGTGTGTGTAAAGCACATGTGCAACATGTCTTAAACGTAAAGGTCAAAGGACAACTTACAAGAATCAGTTCTCTCTTTTCAGCATTTGGGGCCTACAGATCAGACTCAGGTCCTCAAACTTGGCAGCAGGTGCTTTATTCAATGAGACATCGTGCTCTCCCAATCATAATCTTAATGGCCACTCTCATGGGCATCATTTGCCAACTATGAGCACAACATTCCCTGTCTGACTCAACAGCTGCTCCCAGAAACACACAAGTTTATACAAGAACAGACATACAGCAGTCCACTTCCAGGAATGACAAGAAATTTGAAGATATGAAAAGACATCAAGAGATACCATGTAGCCAGGTCTCACGGTTCTCAAGAATAGTCCACACAGGCAGATATCTTCAGAGTAATGATAAATTGGACTCATGTTGAATATCCACATCTGTCAGTATCCTGAAGGGCTTCCAACCCTCAAACCATTTAATCCTTTTCAGACGTCTACAAGCTAGAGTACAATTGTTATTCACATTCAACACTCAGAAAATGAGAGTCAGGGAGGAGAAATGAACTCCTTCCAAGGGCAATCAGCTTGTCCTGTACAAAATAAAGCTCAATCTCAGGCCTCAGATACAGGGTCTCAATCCCTTCATACCTGTCGTTAGAAGGGCTTTAGAAGTCACACACACACACACACACACACGCACAGTGACCCCACTAACACATCTCCATTAAGAGCCCCAGCATGACAAAGGCAGGTCTGCATTCACTTCTTTGCTTGGCTTATAAGACTTACACAGAAACACATATTTAAAATGTTACTACTACCTGCTGAGCGGCAATGGTACATGCCTCTCATCTCAGCACTCTATGAGTTCGAGGCCAGCTTGGTCTACAGAACAAGTTCCAGGACAGGTTCCAAATCTACACAGAGAAATCCTGTCTCAAAAAACCAAAACCAAAACAAAATGAAAGAAAACAAAGTTACTACTTACAACTCCAGAACAATGTAATAATCTTCTGCATCAAAAACATCTTTAATCTGGATGATGCATGGCTAAAACAGAGAAGAAGAGAGAAGTGAGACACTCCAAAAAGGAAACCTCAAAACTCAGAAACTGAGGTCTCAGGAGGACAAAGACCAGGCACTGAACCCTTATCTGAGTCAAGTACAGGAGAAGGCTGAAGAAACGTATCTGACTCTTCAGAGAGAACACTCAGTTATCAATCAGCAAAGGAAAATTCATGTGTGCATATGGGCCTACCTAAGAGTGACAGCAGGCCCTCCCAGCCTTCTTCATTTGTCCAGAACAGGACTCAAGCAACCTGACAAGAACCATGCATAAGCCAGCAGCAGAATGGTGGTGGGGAATTTTCACAGCATGTCTGAGACCTGAAATCCAATCCTAGCACAAGAGTGAAGGAGACACACAACCAGAGATCATGAAGCTAATTTGTAATCCTAGCACTTAGGAGGGCAAGAAATCCAATCCTAGCACAAGAGTGAAGGACACACAACCAGAGATCATGAAGCTAATTTGTAATCCTAGCACTTAGGAGGGCAAGGAAGGAAAATCAAGAATTCAAGGTTAACTTCAACTATAAAACAAGTTCAAGGCCAGCCTGCAATATGAGACCTTTTCTCATCGACAAAGAAGAAAGCTAGGGAGGAAACCGAATTATATTACCAGACACCAGACCCATACAGCTCCAGGATTGGAAGCATGGACAATGGAAGGAAACTTTCATGATTAGATCTTCCCCATTGTAGAAGACCTTCCAAGCATGGCCTCTAGTTTATGACCAAGTATCAGCACAGGGGACAGAGAACACAGTGGGCAGGGAAGAACAGGTTTAGATACTCTAGAATGCACACTTATGATTTTCCACTTAGAAAGCACAATTGACAGCCAAGTTCAGTGATAGGGATAAGAACCAGACTGGGTGAGTATCAATCAAAATAAAGGATTGTGATCATGTGAGAACTGGACAGCCTATACTACTTCCAGGTTTGAGATTAAGAGGGTGGTGAAACTCACCATAGCATTCTTCTATCAAAGCAAGTCTCATCATAACTGCTGATCTGAATCCAGGGGGCCTTCCTGCAGTGAACTGTGACAAGACAGTCAGTGGAGGCCCCACTGCCTCGCAGCATGTAAGACCTTGGAAACGCTGATGAGTGCTAAGGTGAGACTTCTGCTTTAAAAAGGATCAAAACAACCAGTAAAATACTTAGGGAGATGGGATGTATGGATTGGTTTGCTTGTTTGTTTATTTAATTACATGTGTCTATCTGTATCTATGCATGCCATAGAGCATGTGTGGAGATCAGGGGAGAACTTGTGAGAGCTGATTTTCTCCTTCCTCTTGTGGTTCCTAGGGATCCAACTAAGATGGTCAGACTTAGTAGCAAGTACCTTAAACCTCTGAGCCTTTTTGCCAGCACTGAATGTGTTTTACAAAACAAAACTGGCAAAGCAGGCTGCAGCAGGAAGATTGCTTGAGCCAGGAATCAGAGCCCAGCCAAGTCAATTCAGCCAGTTCCTGTTACAAGGAACAGAAACAAACTCACTCAAGAGACAGAGATGGAAGGGTCATGTGAGCACAGTATTCCCAGACCAACCAGGGCAGCAGTGCAAGGCTGTCTCCAAACAACAGCAAAAGAATAAAATGAAAGAGCAGGAGAGGAGGTAGGGGAGGAGGAGACAAGGCAGAAGGAAAGAAAAAGGAAAGGGAAGAGAGAGCAGGACAGGAAGAAGCTGCAAATCCAACAGAGGACAGCCAAGAGGACTGGCCACTGAGTTGTAAACAGGCAGTGAGGTACTGTGTCAAAGGCAGTAATTTAGAATAAAAAGAGCTTCAAGTACTTGGAGGGATGTGAGGAGATGAAAGAGAGAAAACAGAAACTCTTCTGTTTGGAGGGTAAAAGTGAGAATAGGCCAGATTTGGGTCAAGTTGACTCCAGCCCCTACAGGGACACAAAAACTGATGAAGACACTGAAAGATCTAGCAAAGGGAAGACAGGACCAAATGAGCACACTACAGCCCTTCTCATCTTCCACAAACACATTGATCCTGAGAAAAAAAGACTCCCAACCAGACTCCCACACCTAGGAATGAGACAAGATAAAATGATAGGACTTCATTCACTTCTCACACACCATAGATTTAAATAAATTACTCCAAATAAAAAGCTTAAAAGTGCCAAATTTTCAGGTGTGATTAACCATACTAAAACTTTCATTTTCTTTACAAATATGATCACTAATCTCTATAAGATTTTGTTGAATCATGAGGTAATGAAGCCTTTACAGAGGATTATATTTTCACAAGCTTTAAGTAAAACTCTTGCAAGGTTAAAAAAAGAGCTTGGTCGTGTGTGCATTCAGATGCCCAGGTCAACACTAACCTCCTACAGACATGCTATGTACATGTCCCATATTTTGAGACAAGTTTCTATAAGTGATAGTAATACTTACATGATTTAGTTTTTTCAAAATTTCTATTTCCGTTTCAACACTGGGAGCCATGTCCTTAAAAAGGATAACATGACAGTTCATTAATAATAATAATTGCAATGGTTAGTATTCTAATAATAATATTTACAGTTCATCCTAAGTAAAGACTGCCTGAGTTACAAACAAGCCTCTTTTCATACAGATGACACAAAATTACATATTTATGTAAAATGGACTTTGTACAAGAAGCCCAGATTAAAGATTTTTAAATACATATTTTCTCTATTTTTTATTTTTATGCATTGGTGTTTTGCCTGCATGTATATCTGTGTGAGAGGAAGAGACCTGGTCAGTCATCTTCATTAACTTAGATCATGAAACCCAACATGGACAAGTTCGAGTTGAAAACTTGAATATCTGTGTGAGGTGCTGAGCCCCCTGGAACTGGGAGTGTAGATGGCTGTGAGCTGTGAGTGTTGGGAACTGAACCCAGGTTCTCTGGAAGAACAGTGTGCTCTTAACCACTGAGCTACCTCTCCAGCCCCCCAGATTTAAAATTTTTAAATTCAGCCTTTCCCTCTCAGCTCCCACACTCATTATTACATTGTAGGGCTGGGGTGGGAGGTTCTACCAACTAAGAGGTCCCACAGAGTACAATGAATGGAAGAGAACAATTAAGAAGTAAAGATTGGTTCTAAGTTTTTATCAACTCCCCCCCCCCAAAAACAGGAGGCAAATCCAGAATCATGTCTATAACAAAGTGACCACAGACCGGAAATTCCTATTGCCGTGTAAGAATAGAATTATCTAGGGAAAAACAATTTGAAGAATGTTAAAGCCAGAAACAGCTGGTTGGGAAGGAAGGGGTGACTGGGTCCTACCTTTTATTTACTGTGTCACATTATGTATAAAAAAACAACACGTTTGGCTACTTCACTCATTCAGTAAATGTGAACAGAAAAGTGATAAATAGCTGTTACATAAGAATAATTTACATTCGAAAATCTGTAGCTGAGAATTGGAAATGTTATCTCAGTGGTACAGTACTTGTTTGGCATTCATAAGTCTCTGAGTTTGATAAAAATGTTTCTAAGCTGGGCACTGATTGTGCACACCTTTGATCCTAGCACTCAGGAGGTAGAGGCAGGCAGATCTGAGTGTGAGGCCAGCCTAGGCTACAGAGCAAGTCTCAGGACAGACAGGACTACAAAGAGAAACCCTGTCTTGAAAATAACTTTTTTAAAAATGTGTTTCTATAACAAACTCAGTCATTGCCATTTGCCAAAGAGCAAAGAATTGGGAATTACCTCAACAATCAAGCAGAGAATTCTTTTTTTTCTTAAAGAAGTATTTACTTATTGTGTATGCCTACAGGCCAGAAGAGGGCATCAGATCTTATTACAGATGGCGAAGCAACTATATGGTTGCTAGGAATTGAACTCAGGACCTCCAGAAGAGCAGTCAGTGGTCTTAACCACTGAGCCATCTCTCCAGCCCCAAGCAAAGAATTCTTATCTGCATAAATTATGAGGAAGTCGGAACCACTGCTCCTCAGTGACGTCTTTAAGAACCTGTTTAAACCTGTCTGGTAACATCCAGAACATGTGTATAGAGTTCAGCTCACACCTCAGAGCTGAATCACATCAGGCAAAGGCTAGCCGACTCTTTGCAAACACCTGAATCCTTTCATAGCAAATGGGATCAGCAGGGCCTAGGGAAACAGACAGTTACTCTCCTTTGCTGTCATCAAATAGTAAAAATTATTTAAAGGTTAATTAATAAGAGCATTAATAAGCTCCCTCTGTCAAGATGGGAGTATATGCCTAGCACTCCAGAGGAGGTATAGGCATAGGCCAGACTCACTCCATAAGTTTAAGGCCAGCTGGGGCTGTGAGACAGCCCTATCTCAAAAAAAAAAAAGGTTTTTGGAATAAAAAGTAATCACCACATAACTTGTAGAGTGAGGCAAAATGATACATTACAGTTAATAAGGAGTTGCCATTTTAACAAATACTTTCAAAATCAGTGCTGAGAGTAAAGTACAGCCAGGAGGTGCCACACACCATTGATCACAGCACTCAGGAAACAGAGGCAGGCGGCTCTCTGGGAGTTTGAGGCCAGCCTGATCTACAAAGCGAGTTCCAGGACAGCCAGGGCCACACAGAAAAACCCTGTCTTGAAAAACCAAGGAGAAAAAAGTACTATATCTCAGCTATAAAGTCTTCCTGAAACTGAATCATGCTCCAGGGTTCCTCAAGGAAGTTATGAGGAAATGCGAAGACCCAGGCAGCTATAAACATGGGTAACATGGGTACTTACTGCTTCTCTCAATGAGCCGAGAGCAAACTTCCGTTTGCTGATGATCTTTATGGCTACTTTCCTGCAAGTTCTCCGCTCAAAAGCCATTTTTACCTCCCCACAAGCACCACTAATGGGAAAAACACAGACAGTGATTTTTCAGGATGATTTTCATCATGAAACCCACCAGGCATCCACCTTGACTATAATAAATTAAAAATGGGACTGACAAGGCTGCTCAGGTAGACAATCTGAGTATCCAGAACCCATGTAAACCAGGCATCATAGCATACGTCTGTGACCCAGGCTGGGTCACACAGGAAGACTGGAGGCAGAAACAAGAGAACTCCCCCAAAGGCTTGTAGGCCAGCCTGCCTAGAGCAGCAAACAGAGACCCAGGCCCAAGGTAAAAGGTCGAGGACCAACACCCATTGTGTCTTCTGTTACACATGAACTTCCAGACTTTTGTGTGCGCGCGCACACACACACACACACACACACACACAAGAAACTAAATATTGTCCAAGCAACATTTTTTTCATTATTCGTGTGTTCAAAGCACACAGTGAAACTTCACCAGACTAAACTGGCAAGAGCACAGGTAGATGTGAAGTCCCCAACAACAGAGCTTGGAGTGACTTCAATCTAATCATAGCCCTTGATTGTGAAATTCATGGAAAAACACTAAGAGAGAGAGAGAGAGAGAGAGAGAGAGAGAGAGAAAATTTACTTTCTCTAGAGTCCTGAGAAACATCAATAAAAGAGTCTTCATGATCAAAAATGAGTACCCATGCCAAGAGGGTTACACAACTGTAATTCAAGAGCTAAGAGGACAGAAAGAAGGACAGCAGCCAACTAAGACCAACGTGGGTATATACAGTTCTAGGTTATGAAGGCCAGCCATGCCATCTAGGGCATTCATGCCCAAACTGAAATAAGAGAAAATCCAAAACAATTACCAACACTTGCATGTGCAATTTGAAGCATAAATTGAACCCTACACTACACCCAGAAGTGCTGCACGATTACTCTGCATGCAGCAGCACCCTCAAAGATTTCAGACTCACTGGGTACCACCAAGGCCACACAGAATAGCATGCAGCAAAATATTACCCCAGTAAATGAAATTCATCCTAGCATTGATTACTATAGTACAGGTCTGTATAGTACCTGTCTGTAGTGGGCTATGACAACGACCAGGTTCTGAGAGTATTAGAAGGTTTCACATCTTTCTTATTATGTTGTGTATGGACAACATAAAGTGTACCATTATAATCATTTTCAAGAATAGAATTCAATCACATTAAGTACATTCACAATGCCCTCCAACTGGTACCATCTAGTTCCAATTAAGTAAACACCATCATTCCTTACTCCTAGCAACCACTTTCTAAAAATTACCTAGCATTTCATATTAATGAATTCATATTTCTTTCATTTAGCTTAAAGTTCTCAAAGTCCATCCACATAATAGCAGCTATCAGTACATAAATATCTGACACTGGATCCTACTATGCTAGCTTTGTCTTTTTTTTTGTTTTGTTTTTTCGAAACAGGGTTTCTCTGTAGTTTTGAAGCTTGCCCTGGAACTAGCTTTTGTAGTCCAGGCTGTCCTCAAACTCACAGAGACCCGCCTGCCTCTGCCTCCCGAGTGCTGGGATTAAAGGCATGTGCCACCACTGCCCAGCTGTCTTAACCTTTTAGAAGCTGAAAGACCCCATCACAGCACCTAGCTACCTACTTATTTCCTCTTATCCCCCTTCAAGACAAAGGTCTTAGGAAGCTCAGATTCCTCAAATGACTATTATGTCAAGGATAACTTTGAACTCCCAATTCTCCTGCTATAATGTTTTCAAGTTGTTGAATTCCAAGTGTGTCCCACTCTGTCTGTCTTCTGTTAGGGATTGAACTAAACACTTTACATTAAATTGCAGGTCTACCTTAAGCAAGCAGAACTGTTTGTCCCAAAAACCAGTTAGGTTTTTTGTCTGTTTGTTTTTTGTCAACCTGACTCAATCGAGGAGCATCTGCTAAGGAATCTCAATTGAAAAAAATGCTCCATTAGATTGTCCTGTAGGTAAGTCTGTGGGACATTTTCTTGACTAATGTGTAAGGGCCCAGCATACTGCGTGTAGTACTATTTCTGGACAGGCAGACCTAGGATGAATAAGAAAGCAAAATGATCAAGTCATGGAAACTGAGTCAGTGAGCAGTCTTCCTCTGTGGTTTCGCTTTAGCTCCTGCCTCTAGGATCCTGCCCTGCGTCTGTCTTGGCTTCCGTCAAGATTGGACTGTGATCAGAACATGTGAGCCAAACAACCCCTTCCCTCTCCAAGTTGCTCTTGGTCACAGTGTTTATCACAGCAACTAAAGCAAAGGAGGAGAGAAATTGGTACCAGGACCAGGGTATTGCTGTGATGGATGTAACCACATTGCTTGGTGGAAGATTTATAGGATTAGCTCTGAGCTGGTAAAGTTGTTGAGTGCTCAGAGATTAGTGGGTTGTTTTGTAGAGCACTGGAAGCTAAGCTGAGAGAAATGTAAATAACAGGCCTGGTCCATGAAGTTTCGGAGGGAACTTTTAGAGTCCCTTAAAGCTCCCTATCAGAGCCATTTGTGTGATAGTTTCAATAAAGATTCTCTGAAAGTAAGGCTGGGCATAGAGGCGTGTGTCTTTAATCCAGCACTCAAGAGGCAGAGGCAGGTGCACCTGTGAGTTCAAGGCCAGCCTGGTCTACAAAGGGAGTTCCAGGACAGTCAGGGATATACAGAGAAACTCTGTCTGGTGGGGGGAGGGGTTAATCTGTGAAATAAAATCTTTAGATAATCACTGCTAGTTAGCTGGGGCTTAAAATCAGCAGTGATTAGCCAGATGGTGGTGGCACACACCTTTAATCCCAGCACTCAGGAGGCAGAGGCAAGTGGATATCTCTGTCAATTCGAGGCCAGCCTGGTCTACAAAGTAAGTTCCAGGACATTCTCCAAAGCTACACAGAGAAACCCTGTCTCAAAAAAACTTAAAAAAAAATCAGCTATGATTAATGAGAGACCAACATCATCGAGGGGAAATCTTTGGACCAGAGAAGGTCCAAAGCTGCATCTCAGGCTGGAAGTCAAACTTCATAAAAAAAAAAAGTACAAAAAAGGGGAGGCTCACATATTCAAGATATTAGTTTTGAAGGCATGAAGGGCTTATAGAAAGCAGTTGAGGCTTGGCACTGTGTGACAGGCTTGAAGTATCCCTCAAGAAAGTATAGAAGGTCACTGACAAAGATACAGGCTCAGTTGCAATTGGAGCCCCCAGCATAATGGAGATGCCCAGACTGTGGGATGACCACTGAGGACAGCAGTAGGTGTGGAGCCAGCCTGAGACTACAAGACAAGCTATATGTGCCATGGAAGGCACGGCGGAAGAAGTGGAGCTGCTCAAGACTTCTGTAGATCAAAAATCCTAAGTCCCGGACTTTGGACACTGAGCTACTTAACCTGCTCGAATTTGAATTTGCTTTGATCTGACTGTAACCCTTCTAAAATAACAAGAGTTATTTTTATTGTAGTTGTTTTACAGTTAAGAGACTTTAGACATTTTTAATTTGATTTTGCTTTGATCTGACTGTAACCCTTCTAAAATAATAACAGTTATTTTTATTGTAGTTGTTTTACAGTTAAGAGACTTTAGACATTTTTAATTTGGGTATATTTCAAATTGCTGAGGTTTTTTTTTTTTTTACATGTATGGGTGCTTTTCCTACATATACGCCTGTGTAACACTTGCATGCAGTAAACTAAAGATTAGAAGAGATCAGATTCCCTGGAATTAGTTATAGGAAGCTATCAGACATTATGTAGGTACTGGAAATCACACAGATCCTCTTGAAGAGCAACCAGCGTTCTTAGTTACTAAGTTAGTACTCCAGTTCCAAATTGTTGAACTCCTTTTTAAATTTATTTTTACTTTCTATGCATCAGTATTTGGCCTGCATGTATGTCTGTATGAGGGTGTCAGATCTTGGAGTTACAGTTCTTAGCTGCCATGTGGGTGCTGGGAATTCAACATGGGTCCTCTGGAAGAAGTAGTCAGTGCTCTTAACTGTTGAGCCATCTCTCCTGCCCCTTGTTGAACTTTTTAAAAGATCCAGATTTCAAAAAATTAGACTGTGCTTCACACCTTGACTTTAATTTTTGTTTGTTTTGCTTTGTTTTTTGAGACATAGTTTCTCTACATAGTCCTGGCTATCCTGGAACTCAGTATGTAGACCAGGCTGATCTCAAATTCACAAAGATACACTTGCCTCTACCTCTCAAGTACTAAATTTAAAGGCTCGAGTCACGACCCACCAGGCCATGAAAATAATATTAATATGACAACTTGGAGGACAACAAAAAAGGTTATGGTTCAATGGTGATATGTTTGTATGTTAAGTTGACAAGGAATCAATTGTACTGGGTTTTGTTTTGGTCTTTTGTTGTTGGTCAACTTGATACAAGCTAGGAACATCTAGGAAAAAGGAACCTCAATAGAAATAAAAAGATCTCCATCACATTGGCTTATACATAAGTCTGTGGACATATTCTTGATTGATAACTGATGCTAAACCCACTGTTCACAGTCTTACACCTGGTGATGTGGTCCTATATTATAAAAGAAAGCAGGCTGAATAAGCCTTTGGGAGTAGACGAGTGATCAGCGTTCCTCCATGGTCTCTGCTTCAGTTACTGTCTCTACTTGAGTTTCTGCCTTGGTGTCCTCACTGATGGACTGTGATCAGTACCTGTAAGTCAAATGAACCCTTTCCTCTCCAAGCTGTTTTTGATTATGATTCTTATCACAGCAATAGAAAGCAAATTAGGACCCCAAACAAGCTTTATGACCTGAATCAATCTCTGGAATCTATGGTAGAAGGAGAAAACTGAGCTACACATGCACACCATAGTACACACATCACATGCACCTCACAATTATACACTCTTCACACACATCACATCACAGGCACCACTCATCACTTAAAACACTCACACACACATACCTCATACTCATCACACATCATATATTCACACATGCATTATAACACTCATACCTACATAAACACATATACGCACAAGTAATTAAATAATTTTTAATTGACAATA